CAGAGGAGACACCCCACCCAACCCCTCAGAAGTGGTGCTTTTCCTCACAACACATCAGCACACAAAGCTATGGATGTCAGAAGTCGATGTGGGTCCAAAACCTGTTAGACACATTTCTGAAAGAAAAACTCATCAAGATCAATTAACCTCAAATGCTGAGGACTGTGCCTCTTAGGTGCAGACCAGCAGAGGCTGGGCAGGGATACCCAGCGGCACGGCTCCGTGTTTGCCCTGTTTGTGCGCTGTCCAAGCATCTGCCACTGTTCAGTCAGAGAAGAGAGCCCTGCTTAGACAGACCTTTCGCCTGCCCTAGCATGACTGTTCTTAAGAATCAACTTCCCTCATGTATCAGCGATTCAAGGTTACACTGGCTCAAAGTGTGATGTTTACTTAGCTGTTATTAGTCAGTCACACACACTAGCACACTGGAAAGACACAGTGGTTCATGGCAATGTAACCTGTACTAATCACAAATATTTACAGAAATCTAAGGATGATAAAAGGTGTCAGGGGGCTCCCAACAGATGAACAGACACTGCTGGACTCTCCTTTGCTACTTCTACATGCACAGGAAGATCCACAGAAGTATTTTCTCAGATTCAGGCAAAATACAAACTTTGAAACAGCCTGTAAAAAGACTGTACTGCATCACCCTGTAGTTCATATGATACATACAATGACATCATTGGCAAAAAAAGTGGTCTGACAGATGCCTTAATAACCCATGTCTTAATGATACAGACATGCTAATATAAATAACAAGGGCTTCAGCAGCTCACGTTCTTGAAGTCTTTGTTAACAGCTTGTGAGGATGCACATTTGCTCTCCTGCACTTCTTTCAGATGGTGACAAATAGCTGCACACAACTTGCAGGAAAGGGAAAACTGCAATTGGTTTTTTATTTTTAACTTCATGCAAGAAGGTATTTTCACAAGTAAATTAACTGTCATTAGTAATTCAGATATATGAAATATTACTTCAACCAAACTGATATGTTCTGGCTGCGTAAAAAGCACGTTTTCTTTTCCCTTTAACTGAGTAGTTCATCTCCCTCAAAAATGAGCACTTACACCTTTTTAACAGTCCTTATTATACGTATACTGATTTTAAAAAGAAGACACTTCACTTTATATGCTCTTGAATAAAATTAATGTAGAAATTGTTAGTACACTGCACATTAGATGAAAAAGTAACCATGCACATTTTATAATTTATTTCCTACAAAATACTACTTGTTAGGTCATTCTATACTTAGCAAACTAACAGGAAATATTTATTTTCTTTAGAAGAATTTATGTGAAAAATGACAACAGCTGTAGGTTAAGTGTAGAACAGTGAACTTGGGACTTCTTTTGCACCATGAAATATTGAAGCTTGTTAATACATGCCATGAAATGTTTACCAAAGTAATTTTTCACCGATTTGTAAGGATGCAGTTGCCCAAGGTCATACCATTTCTTCCTCAAGAGGAAAAGGAAGGAAGGGGAAAATGCTTTGTTTATATAGTTCTGGTTAGAACATTAAGCTTGGGCATTTATGCCAATTTAGGCATCAAGAATGACTTCTACTTTGGTTTTGTATGGTAAAGGCTGTTCCTCTGTCTTAAAGAGCTGAGACAGGAGCAACTAGCAAGGCATGAAAAGTCTAAAGGAAACGTCTTGGAGTGTTTAATCAGAATTGAGTCATGCTGTGGTCCCATACTTGACATGCACATGCTCCTCTACTTGACACCTCTTAAACATTGCAGTATCTTCTGTGACCTGTGATATCGTAAATCCTCTTCCACTTTTTGAAATTATGTAAATTTCATAGACATTGCAGAAACAAATTAATAGAGCTACAAGTCAAATGTTCTTAGAAAGTAAGTAAGAGCAATGGCCATTAACATTGCTAGTAGATGGCAATCTCAAGCATTAGATCATAAAGCATTATTCGTTTGAAGCAGACTGACTTTTGTGTGTGCCGTGTCATCCTGCAGGAAGCCACAGACTACAGGCCAGAGCACACACTTTCATCTTTAACCTTTTGAATGGCTATGTAGGTTCAGAAATTGTGGAGACATCTCAAGGGAAGTTAATGATATAACCAGCACACGTCATTCAACAAATACAGAGAGAGAGACCTGTTTGAAGAAGGACAGACTTCACAGCTTTTCTTTTGTAACTAATTTGAAATAAAGAGTAGCATCATTGAAAACAAAAAAGCACCAACTTTTGTTTTACAGGTTATCAGACTCACATAACACTTCTAAAGAAATCTAAGTTAAAAACATATTTAGAATTGCATCAAGCCTCAGTATAAAAATATTCAGCTCGTCAGCTGACCATTTGCACGCCTGTAAGGTCATGACAAGAGTGGCTTGGTTCTTGCAGGAGGGATGACCATGGTTACTATGGACCACTGCTTTATCCTCCTATAAAAATAGTACTTTAAGATACATAAAATTGCAATTTAGAAGAACACGTTGTAGCTTTTCTAAAAAGGGAGACGAAATAACCTGAATTCACTGGAAGCACTCAGTAATCTCAGAGGGGAAAAACACAGCCCAAAGATGAAAGGAGTTCACAAATGATCTTCATCAACTTTTAAAAAACCCCAACTTTCAGAAGTAATGTCAATTTAGGTTTTGCAACTGTGTGCTAAAAAAAGCACACACAAAAAAATACTGTAGCAAAATGAACCAGCAGCAAAAAGCCCAGGAGAAAAAAAAACCTGCTTATCAAGCACTTTTTTTTTTTTTAAAACCATTTGCTGTTACAATACTCCAAACTTTTTTCATTCTAGATTCAGTGCATTAAAGAGACTTCATATTTCTCCTGAAAGTAATCAGGGAAGCTGTGACAGTAAGCATTTAAAGCTTATTTAAAACCCAAATTATTATTTTTTTCTGCAAAATAACTGGAGGGGAGGAAGGCCAGAGGCACCCTGTAGGACTGGACACTTTTTAACCCAGAGAAGGCACCCGTGGACTTCACAGCTGGCTCTCAGCTTGGATCCCTGCACATCTAACTGGCACAAATGCTGCGGTGCTGCTCCTGTGTCCAGCACAGTCACGTTGGCTTTGGTAGCACAAAGTCAACTGTCGCACACAGGCCTCAGTAGCACAAATTAAGGGCCATCAGCAATATAATCCAAACCCAAATTTTCAAATAAAATATTAAATACAACCACAAGAAAGACCCTAAGATTTGGGTAATATTTATGCTCTAGAATATACCACAGATTAGGCAGATTTGCTAGCCATTTGCAGATTGCTAGCTTTTGAAAGTAGCTTTTGCCACAAGCAGTCCAGTTCCTTTTGAGCACAGGAACACCTTTTCTTTTTTTTTTTTTTTTTTT